CATACATACATACATACATACATACATACATACATACATACATACATACATACATACATAACATACATACATACATACATACATACATACATACATACATACATACATACATACATACATACATACATACATACATACATACATACATACATACATACATACATACATACATACATACATACATACATACATACATACATACATACATACATACATACATACATACATACATACATACATACATACATACATACATACATACATACATACATACATACATACATACATACATACATACATACATACATACATACATACATACATACATTACATACATACATACATTACATTACATTACATTACATTACATTACATTACATTACATTACATTACATTACATTACATTACATTACATACATACATACATACATACATACATACATACATACATTACATACATGCATGTATATATATATATATGCACTTGTTGTCTTAAGAAAGCCTCAGGATTGCCTTCAAAAGGTTACGACGGGACCTACTTAACTCCCCATTCGGGCCTGGGAGGCGGCAGTGTCCACCACCTCGGCTCCTGAAGTTGTTGATGGGAAAAAGCCAGCCCCAGACCCTAGCAGGGATCCTTACATTATACACCTGAACATTGCCTTGTCAATGGTGGTTTCCCTTTATTTTGGTGGAAAAAGCCATGTTTCAATTGGGCAAAATGTATCTTCTAAGGAACCCTGCCCAGCTAGGTTCGTTGTTTCAAAGCCAGGGGAGCCATGGGAAGCATAATATAGCTCTCCTGGGCCCTTGGCAAAACAAAAATGATGGCAACTACCATTTAAGGTCACGTAGAGTCACTGGGCTGCCATGGCGCCCCTTGCGATTCGGCTCTGAATCTGCAACCCCGAAGTTAGAAACAAGTGGGGGGCTCGACTGAACCATGGACTCAATGGACCCTTTCCAGGACTACACAACAGGCTAACAACAGGTTGACTGCTCAGTTTTAAGGACACGGGCAGCTAAGCAAAAGCTGAAAATGGGAACTAGCACTCTAGTCACCTTGGTTGAAAAGGACATTAATAAACTGCAGACCCTAGACACGACAGGAACTGCACACAAATGTTGTATTGCATACATACTGTGCATTGTGGCCAACCGACTTAGAATTATAGCTAAACTTCACAGCATGGCAAACTGATCGAGAAGCTGGAATATCAAGGTCAATGATTTGAACCGATGAGTAAAAGCAAACCAAGGCTGGAAAAAACAAAGTCACCTGTCAAAAGGTGGGCTTTGGGCACGTGAGATTGACACACCTCACTAGGCCCGCCCAAGCAAACAGCAGGTGCTTCCACCCTTGCGCGCATGTGAGGGTCGACAACAATACCGCCCTGACACCCCTCAAGTAAAAGGCATTGACCCCTGGTCGAGGTCGGCTTCATGACGGTTCCCTCATGGCTCCTACATTGGCCCTATCGGCTGCCGCGTTGGCCCCGGCGGCTGCCGCGTTGGCCCCGGCGGCTGCCGCGTTGGCCCCAGCGGCTGCCGCGTTGGCCACAGCTGTCGCGGTGGCCACGGCTGTCGCGATGGCCACGGCGGGTGCTTCCGCCCCCTTCGTCTGCGCAGCGGCGGCCTACTCTCTGGCAGGCTAGACTACCAGTGTCTCGGTGTTTCGCGCAAACTGCTGGGAAGGGGAAGAACGAAATCTGCTTTGCACTCAGAATTGCTGGGCGTGGGAAGTCCATTTGGACTCCCAAACCGGGTCGGCTCTTCCATCTTTGCTGCGAAGCTACTCGGGCCTGTCTTTGTTTCTTTCCTTTTTTGTTCTTCCTTTTTTTTCCGGGACCTTTTCAATTATTGATGTCAGAGGGATTCCGAAAAGACACCAACCATGTTGGTGTCTCAAAACATGGGAACCCCGAAAAGAAGGAAAGTTGTGTTCCTGTTGTCTTCCTTTAGAAACACAAACACAAGCGCACCCTTAAGCCAAAAGAACACCAAGCAGTTTGATGTCTCAAAACAGGGCAAGCCCCCACCCAAAAGAAAGAAAGTGGCGGTCCTTTTCTTTAAGAAAGCTAGCATGCCCTCAGGCCAAAGGAAACCAACCATTCTGGTGGACACATGTCGCCTCACTTTTCGGCACGCCGGGTCCGGTCGACAGGTCGTTTTCGCCTTCTCCTCCTTTGGTGCCGCGGCCGGTGTCTCGTCCAAGCCCTGCACCCACCTGAGGTTTGCCGAAAGCGCCTCACCCCTTGCGCCACACTTGGAGTTGCATCAAAGGGTCCGACAAACATGGGGTGACCATTGGAAAAACCACCAAACAAGATATCACTTTCTCACGACATGGAAAAAGCTACCCATGGTGAGTCATGTGGGGGCCGGTGGGAATATTGATCAACGCCCCCTTCGCAAAGTGGCACCTTGTGATTCTATCCAACAGCGATATCTACATTGTGATCACTAAATAAGATCTCCCTTGAATATCCAGAAATATTCCTATCTGATGCAGCTTGTGAATATGCATCAACTTCAATTGCTTGGTCAACGAGGCATGATACAACGAACAAGCTCATCGTGTTGATACTCGGCATGGGCGGTCTGATTTTCATTCGTCCCGATTTCCTTTAAGTCACTAAGAAAAGGGAAGATTAGACCAACATGGGGAAACGAAACCGTACGATCTGCTTTCACCTCGTACATAGGGCATGGTCATGGTTGCCTTAAGCCTTAAAAGGAACCTGTTGAATGATTCCCTAAACCCCCTTTGAAGGGGAGGTCACTACCAACCCCAAGACAAGAGATGGTTTACCATGGCACACATGGGTTGGCTCAGTGCCTGAGTGCATTGGCCAAGAAAAGCCCAGACAGTTGCAACATGTGGCAAAATTGGATCTCGTCACTTGGATGAACATTTCCTGCCTGATGTCTTCACTGTTTGATGCCTAATACCACCAAGCATGTGCCAAAACCACTCCATGGTGTACCTTCCCTCCAACAATCACCAAAGCTGACAGGAGGGTTTTGGAAGACTACTTTCCTTTTGGGGTTTGGCCCGAATCGTCCAGCAAATCATGATTGTTGGAGGGAGGCTACATTCTATGGGGAGACACAGTGGCCAGTCTCGTTCTGAAGCCTCCGCCACATATCACATTGCGGTTGGTGTCCCCTGGTCACCAGTGTCGCATTTGCCGAGGGAGCAAAGGCCAGGGGATCCCCGGTTTTGGGCTATGTCCGGTTGCTCCCGTTCTTGTTGCATGATTCTGGGCGAAGTACTATAATTCCCAAACAGGAGATGCAACCACCCATAACCTCTCAGTCAAGTAAAGAACTTTCATGAGCTCGGTTTAGCTCATAGGTCTTGTTTGCAACCCACTTCCTGAGTGGAATTGGCAAAAAGAAGTCTCAGCTTTGTGGTTACCACTAAAACGGTCTGTGCAAAACGTGTTTAAAGGCCGAAACGGAACTGAGGAAGTGAGGCACTGAAGTCAACAGGTGCGACCAAGGCCGTGGCTTCTCTGTACAATTCTGCACGGCTTCTGCAAAGCGCACGCAGGCCTCCCAAAAGACGGGGGATCGGAGGCACAAACACCAACTCCCTCTAGTAGAACACAAGCGTCAGCTAAGTCTTTCACGCGTTCGTTTCAATCCGCTTGCCGCTCATGGGTGCTTTTGCTGCCCTTCATTTCCCCTCCGAAAAGAACAAATAATGAACGAAACGGCCAACGGCACATGTCCAAACACATGGAGTCCGCAAAGGTCAACAAACGAAACATTTCCTTGCAGTTTCGTCCGCGACACTTGACAACATTCGGAGGCTCACTTCGCACCTAAGCACAGTATCATGCAGCTTAAATTCCCATCGTTTTTGAAACATCTCCTTTGGATAACCCCCCCTTTTCGGATCATTGGCAGGGGAAGTGAACGTGCTTTTGGTGTTGGGCCGTCTTGCTTGCGACTTGGTGACCTTGAGACAAAATGAACCAACAATGGCAGAAGGTTCTGGCCAGGTTGGCTGAACCCCAGCAACTTGGTCCACGTGACACAGCAAATGAAATGTTGTGACTCTTTTCCATGCTTGGCCTACCCTAAAATATGATTTAACTAGCTTTGGAAACACGAACCATCGTTTTGGAGACCCCGGAAAAGATCAACAGGTCGGCTTTGACCAACTTTTGATGTGAGTTAAGAGACCTAAAAAATCCGGTGCCCTCAAGGTTCGGGCGCCATGTTTGGAACCTGCACCACCTCCCCCCAAACAAAACCATGCATAAGTGTTGACAACTCCTGCATATCCTGTACCACCGCCCCAAACAAAAATGGCTAACAACCAACCAGTACTTTTTGGTCATCTAAACCTGTCCAATCCAAATCAACAACTGTTTTTGTGCAGCCCATTAAGCAATGAGCAGATCACCAAACAGCTCAAAACCTCAACAACATGCCAAGAACAAGCTTGGTTGCTGTTCACCCCTGTGCAAAAGTGTCTAACTTGTTGTGGGCTTTTCAGTCCAAGGATCCGTTACCACGGAACCGTAAAGAAAGCCTGCCTTGGTGCTTTCTGGACCCTGCAACTACCCTTAAGCATGGATTGCCCCCCACAAATTCTGGGGTGACTTCCCTTTTCTAAGGGCAGCATTAGAGATAGGCCATGTTAGGCCAAACAAAATATGGTGTGATTTCCCTTTTCAATGCCCATAGAACCTATATGGTCATGGGTCAAAAGCCCGTACCCAGTGAACATCCCAATCCCCACTAAAATAGGTTCTAAAATGGGTGGTGCACCTACCCCAAAATGAGATCCCATTGGTTTTGAGCCACAGCCATATCTCATTCATAAGTGGCCTTTTGGAAAAATAGATGGCCCTGGTCAATGGAATAAACCCCCATCTAAACCAGGAATCGCCCTCTATTTTTTCAGCAAACCAACCAAAAGACAGGCCCATAGAATCTATATCTTGATCTATATTTTCCACAAGAGGCGCCTCCCGCAGCTGCTCAGCGCTCTTCAGCGCCTCTTGCTGCCGCGCCCGCGCGCTGGCGGAAAGGCCCCGCTGGGTCTCCGCTTCCCCGCGGCACCTTCGACCGTCGGACCGGACCCGGACGCGATGGCAAGGAATCGGAGGTTCTGGGCAGCCCCCCCCCAATGGCTGGCCAATGGCCACAGAAAAAACGGTAGGTCACGTACCAGACCATTTGCCAGCAGTTGGGGGTTGTCTGGTACGGTTGGTTCATGGTTTCAAATTCAAACCCAAAAAGCGGTCCGCCATTTTGCGAAACCCATGTCAAACCTGCTTACATGGGGAAAAAGGGCACTCTTTTGTTGGTAGTTCCGCCACATTGCTCCAGACCCCACCCCCCCCAATTGGAGTGAGTGGAGCCCACATCCTGGCCGAAGCCAAAAATCAGGCCGTCCCACTAAGGGGAAGGGCTAAGCATGAATTAAATCTATTTGGCAGGAGCATGTGGTCAGCATGCGCAGGCAAAAACAGGCAATCACGTTTCCGCCTAAAAGGGCGGCGGGGGCCACAAGAAATGTTTATCGGATGTGTACTTGCGGTATCGATAAAACCGCGTTTTAGCGGGCGTCAAGGATTCTTTTGCATGGATAGTGGGATCAATCAAGGGTTCCAGTTTTAGAATTTTGGGCGTGACACCCAGCCAGCTTACCTGAGACACGTTGCGCGGCACCAAGGCAATAGACTGCAAAGTTTCCTCAGCCCTGGCCATCTGCGGTCGAGCGGTAACCAAAGAGCCTCATGGATTTAACTTTGGTTGAGGGCTCACCCAAGATCATGGCGTCCCGGAAATCCGGCTCAGGCTTCAACAGAGTGCCTAAAATTGTTTAGTCGTCCCGCATGGGGATAGTTCTCAGAAATGCTTCTTGCGACACGTCAGCTACGTCCACTTGCGCAATCCTGGTGAAAGTTTTGGCGCTTCAGCCAGTTTTGGCGCTTCAGCCAGTTTTGGCGCTTCAGCCACTTTTGTTGGTAGTTGATTTTGAAGGGACACCGCCCTTGCGGAAAAACACAAAGTTAAAAGGGCATCACTGGGTGTCTAGAGAACTGGGGCTAGCAACTACAATCCATTTACTAGCTTGAACACCCAAGCGGGACCGAACAGCAACGAGCAGGTGTCCTTCTTTCCGGAGAAACAACCGAGGACACATGAACTCCAATGGGGAAAAACACAAAGCAATGGCCTCGGAGAGAAGCTTTTGGACCCCGTAAGTTGCTTGGGCAAGCGGATAGAAGCCGTGTTGCAACCCGGAGGACTGGACTCGTACCTTTGTCAGTTTGGGATCTGTGGTTAACTAACCTTTTGCAAACTCATAATGTATGACTTGGCTTTGGAAACTGAAAGCCACATGGTTACGCCCAAGAGCCCAAATGGTAGCAACAAGCCTGTGGAGCTTATGAACCACGGATTACCGAACCCCGCTGTGCTTGGATCCTTTTCGTCTAATTAAGGTCTTTTACACTTAATTGAAAAAGGGGGCGTCCAGGGGGGGAGGCGGTTCGGTAATCCATGGTGAAATCGGATCTTCTTCCAAACGAAACTTGTCCAACATTCCAAAGATCACATACCTTTCTCCAAATCCCCGAAGCGTCCCTTCAGTTTTTTCCACTGCCCCACACCACTCCACACAAGCAAAATCCACACCCCAGTCTGTCCTTCTGCTTGTCAATCCACTCACTTGTCTGCCGGTCGGCAAGGTTTCCCTTTAAAGTCACCAAACCAGGTTCCCCCAAAAAACACACACACACATGCATAATGTTTGTTGAGGGAACCCTTTTTTTGGGCATGGTTCTTTTTTGGCGGCGGAACCCCCCAGGCCAGTTTCACCAAACTTCCCCCTGAAAACCCCCGCTCGCCCAATGCCCCCGACGTCCCCCGCCTGGCCACTCGCTCCTCCAGGCCTTGGATCTCTTGCCTCGCCTTGGCGAGGAGCTCCTGAAAAGAAGCGATGCCCCAGCGGGTTGACCCTTAAATAAATATGAAAGCGACCGGCCTCTGAGGTTGGCAAGGAGAGTTACATGGTTTGGACCCGGTCATGGGGCCCCAACGGTGGCCCCAATCTGGCTGTGGGTCAACAATGGGTACCCAAAATAGAAGCCTGGTAAATGGAACCAAGGACTCAAATCTGCGGTCCCCTGGTTTAATTTTGACTGGCCAGGGCACTCGTGGCGAAAGATCGGGAGGCCAAACTCGCGTACAAAAGTGGACATCTTTGTGACGCCCGGAATGGCAAACCGCCAAAAAGCTGGACAACAACTTGACATCCACTCCCTGGTGCATTTACTCTATGATCCGGGACTTTGAGAATGACCAAACTTTCTCACATCTTTGCTTTAGAATGACCAAAAAGTTTCTGACATCCCCTCCCCTGGATGGGGATGTTGGTACAAAACCGTTCTCAAAAAACGGCCCACAGAACTTCGGCTCCTGCCCGCTGGCGCCGCCGCGCCCGGCCCGGTCCAGCTCACCGCTCAGCAGCGCCTCCCCGAAGAGAAAACAAATCGACGCGAGGAGTGGCCCTGGGGCCTGGCCATAGGTGGCCTTTTCGAACAAATAGATGGGTTCCCCTGGTAAATGGGGCATAAACCAACCAGCTAAACCAGGAATCGCCCTCTATTTTTTAAGCAAACCAACCAAAAAGGACACCTATGGGCCTCACCCTTTTTGTATTGGTTCGATAGGGAATGAGTTTGCTTTCACGGAATGACCCCTGCTGAATTTTGGGCATGTTCCTTGAATGAGGGCTTGACCCCTTTGTTTTAAGGGAATCAGGCTCATTCCCCAAACCTGGGACTGGCCTTTTCCTTAACTTCCATGTGCGGTTTCGCCACCTGGAAACTAAGATAAAATCTGTTCAATAGTAATAGGTTCCCTTTTGAACCGACAGGGGGACATAAAAGACATATTCATTTCAGCAGATGGAAGTTAACTTGCTGATTTGATAGGCAGGCCTTGGGCTTAGTAAGCGCTAAGGACGGTCGTACTGGGGCCATGCTTGAAGACCACTCAAGGGCAACCCGGTATTTCCCCCTTCACAATCCCAGTTCTTCGGTGCCCACCGTTTGTTCAATCCTTTCTGTTTAGTGGGTTCCCCACTAAAAGTTGAAATCAACTTCAGAAAGGATGGCCTGCTTTCCAGCACGGCGTCACTGGGAAACAACTGGGCAATACTGGTTGAATTCGCTTTTGGGACCCCCCACCACCACATCGCGTAGAATTTCAAAAGACACGGGGATCCAGTTACTGACCAACCCGTTGCTGGGGCCAAACGAAGAGGTTGGCGTGTCTTCACCTGTCTCCTCGTTTCTATGTCTTTTCGTGGCCTGAAATCCAATTCACGAAGCTCCCCAGTCGAGTCCTGCGTCCATTTTGGCACCGCGGGTTGCTCGAAACTCGTGGTCGGCCAAGAGCTGTAGCAGCCGCTGTAGCTCAAAACGCACAAGTGGCTGTGGGTCAAAAAATGAGTACCCAAAATGGGTTGCCCTGGTAAAAGGAACCAAGGACTAAAACCTGTGGTCCTCTGGTGGTTTAAAACCTGTGGTCCAATTCCTGGTGTTTTAATTTTGACCCACACCCAAGTGGCAATCATGGCTGTTCGAGCCAGACTCGAACTCCGTAAACTTCAAATTGCCGTGTTCCAATTGCTTTTTCGCCCCCTGGACAAAATGAGAAAATATGTCCAGTAGATAGATTCACTTTAAAACCAAGAGATGCAAATAAAAATAAAACAAATAATAAACAAACAAATCTTGAGCAAATAGAAGCTGTTGTTCCGTTCCGCTGTACACAGGGCAACGATGGGCGAGCCAGTCGACTCAGCGAAGCACGGTGCCAACTCCAGCTTGGATGTCCCCGACAACACCACCGACAGTTCCGCGGCGCCGCCCGCCCTCGCGGCGGCGGTGGCCGCCGTCCGGGATCTCGAGCACGCCATGGCAGTTCTTGTAGCAATATAGAAGGCTGCAATAAAAGTAGCCAAACTCGCAATTGCAGTCCCAGTTGAGTCCAGCTGTGGTGCGAGACCTTGTGCTGTTATTGGGCACCGAGCTCCAATTCGCCTTCAAGCTCGTATTGAACGACTTCAAGGTGGGCTTGCCGACAGTCTTGCTTGCATTCGCGGTGGCTCCGGCCTTGTTCCTAGAGCCGCACGTCGATTCGAGGTAGCAATAATCCCTCGAACACACGTCATATGGCGAATCGCATCCACAACTCCAACTTGAGGTGAACTGGCACAGGCACAAGGCTGGGAGGCAGGCCAAGCACGCCAAGACGCCACTTATGGCTGCCATGACGCCTGACACCTAATGCTCAGAACTATACTGTTAAAACTTCAAACTCATTTGAGGCAAAGAAGGAGCGGCGATGCAATCCGAAGGTCCAGCTGTGGGTGACTGCTTGGCAAACTGATCATTCCCCACAAGACACCTCCATGGTGTCATCCTCTAGGTCCTCCAGTAGAGAGGTTAGAATAAGTGTACCCTTTTTTTCTGCAGTCTGTTTTAGTAGGGGAACCCTCCCAACCAAAAAAGGGGTAAAAGGGATCGCCCCCTTTGTGTCCTCAAGCATGCGAGCCTCTCCAATCAAGTGTTCCATTTTTTAAGCAAACCAACCAAAAAGGACACCTATGGGCCTCACCCTTTTTGTATTGGTTCGATAGGGAATGAGTTTGCTTTCACGGAATGACCCCTGCTGAATTTTGGGCATGTTCCTTGAATGAGGGCTTGACCCCTTTGTTTTAAAGGAATCAGGCTCATTCCCCAAACCTGGGACTGGCCTTTTCCTTAACTTCCATGTGCGGTTTCGCCACCTGGAAACTAAGATAAAATCTGTTCAATAGTAATAGGTTCCCTCTTGAACCGACGGGGGACATAAAAAACATATTCATTTCAGCAGATGGACGTTAACTTGCTGATTTGATAGGCAGGCCTTGGGCTTAGTAAGCGCTAAGGACGGTCGTACTGGGGCCATGCTTGAAGACCACTCATGTTCAATCCCTTCTGTTTAGTGGGTTCCCCACTAAAAGTTGAAATCAACTTCAGAAAGGATGGCCTGCTTTCCAGCACGGCGTCACTGGGCAACAACTGGGATACTGGTTGAATTCGCTTTTGAGACCCCCCACCACCACATCGCGTAGAATTTCAAAAAGACACGGGGATCCAGTTACTGACCAACCCGTTGCTGGGGCCAAACGAAAAGGTTGGCGTGATATTCGGACCGGTTGGTTGGGCAAAGGCTGAGGCAGAAATTCAGGGCTGCCTGTACGTTCCCTGGCCAACTTATAGGGGGGTTGAATTTCAGTGATGTTTAGAGAGGAAGTACCCTGAACCGGTGGTTTGCATTGCAGTAGACCTCCAACTCACCAAACCAAACCATTCGGGCGCTGAAAAGCTGAGGATCTGAACTTTAACTGGGACCCTCTAGTGGACATCATGGGGATGTATGTCCCGTTTGGGTGCGTTCATTCAAGTTCATGGCCTTGGATGAAGCCCCATACAAGAGACAGGGCTCCAACAGGTTGACCCTTTCTTTGGTGCCAAGGTAAATGGTAGGTCAATTGAAAAGAGGGCGCCAAGCACGGTATGGGACCCCAGTAGAAAACTTGCTGGTGCGATAGGTCGGGAACTAGTCCAGATTTTGGGAGTGAACCGGAAGAGGTTTCAATTGAATGATCTTTCAGGTTGTGCCCAGCAAGGCTATCTCTTCTGCTCAGGACTGTGAGAAATGACCACTGCTTTGATACAACAAAAAGGGCTTCCCAAAGACAAACGCCCCAAATAGGTGGGGAGATTTGCTTGTATCACAGAAGTGGGGATAAACCCCTTGATCCCACAACCCCGCTTCTCCTTGTTTCTATGTCTTTTCATGGCCTGAAATCCAATTCACGAAGCTCCCCAGTCGAGTCCTGCGTCCATTTTGGCACCGCGGGTTGCTCGAAACTCGTGGTCGGCCAAGAGCTGTAGCAGCCGCTGTAGCTCAAAACGCACAAGTGGCTGTGGGTCAAAAAATGAGTACCCAAAATGGGTTGCCCTGGTAAAAGGAACCAAGGACTAAAACCTGTGGTCCTCTGGTGGTTTAAAACCTGTGGTCCAATTCCTGGTGGTTTAATTTTGACCCACACCCAAGTGGCAATCGTGGCTGTTCGAGCCAGACTCGAACTCCGTAAACTTCAAATTGCCGTGTTCCAATTGCTTTTTCGCCCCCTGGACAAAGTGAGAAAATATGTCCAGTAGATAGATTCACTTTAAAACCAAGAGATGAAAATAAAAATAAAACAAATAATAAACAAACAAATCTTGAGCAAATGGAAGCTGTTGTTCCGTTCCGCTGTACACAGGGCAACGATGGGCGAGCCAGTCGACTCAGCGAAGCACGGAGCCAACTCCAGCTTGGATGTCCCCGACAACACCACCGATGGTTCCGCGGCGCCGCCCGCCCTCGCGGCGGCGGTGGCCGCCGTCCGGGATCTCGAGCACGCCATGGCAGTTCTTGTAGCAATATAGAAGGCTGCAATAAAAGTAGCCAACTCGCATTTGCAGTCCCAGTTGAGTCCAGCTGTGGTGCGAGACCTTGTGCTGTTATTGGGCACCGAGCTCCAATTCGCCTTCAAGCTCGTATTGAACGACTTCAAGGTGGGCTTGCCGACAGTCTTGCTTGCATTCGCGGTGGCTCCGGCCTTGTTCCTAGAGCCGCACGTCGATTCGAGGTAGCAATAATCCCTCGAACACACGTCATATGGCGAATCGCATCCACAACTTCAACTTGAGGTGAACTGGCACAGGCACAAGGCTGGGAGGCAGGCCAAGCACGCCAAGACGCCACTTATGGCTGCCATGACGCCTGACACCTAATGCTAAGAACTATACAGTTAAAACTTCAAACTTATTTGAGGCAAAGAAGGAGCGGCGATGCAATCCGAAGGTCCAGCTGTGGGTGACTGCTTGGCAAACTGATCATTCCCCACAAGACATCTCCCTGGTGTCATCCTCTAGGCCCTCCAGTAGAGAGGTTAGACTAAGGGTACCCTTTTTTTCTGCAGTCTGTTTTAGTAGGGGAACCCTCCCAACCAAAAAAGGGGTAAAAGGGCACTACCCTTTTATGAACGCATCGCCCCCTTTGTGTCCTCAAGCATGCGAGCCTCTCCAATCAATTGTTCCAAGAGACATGGGACAATTACTTGGTTGACGGGGATCATTACAATTTTTATTCCCTGGCCAAAGCTTGAAGGCTCGCTTGAGTTCAACTGAGCGCAACTTGTCATTGGTAGCATTCATGATATCGCGACCTTACAGGACTCGAGGTAGCTCCGAAAGGCTCTCTGTTTAAAAGCAAGTTTGGATACACCCTCCGGAACGGCTCCCTCTTCAAAAACAAATTCGGATATATACCTCCGAGCTCCAGAAAAGCTCCCGAAGCAGCATATCCTTTGTCGATTCCAACTCCCACGCGCCCATCAGTGGATTCCAAGAAGCCTTTGTCGCTTT